AAAGGCTCATGGTTGAATCTCAATCATGCAAGTGAAAACTAAAATGCGCATTCATAGGATCTGATCCAGGCCGAGGCAAAGCACCAAATGTCTTCACAATATTTTCTCAAGATGTGACGCTGCCATTCAGAGTGACAAAGTGTGACAAAAGAGCTGCAGCTTTCTTCCAAAGATGCCACAAAATGAGTAATTGTCAGATGGATAAATGTATAGATGGTTTACTAAATGGTGTCAGATTAGCTGCAGGAGGTCTTATAGATCTTCACTCATATAAACGGAGCTCGGGAACATTTGTTAGGCTGAAACTCTTAAGCAGCAGCACATCTCTTTTATGGTGCTGCTGTGAAGTCAGGGAGTAATCGAGCCTAACCTAAAGGCAGCGACTCTGAGGAACACAGAGGTCCATTTATTCCCCCGCCGCCTGAAGTATTCATGTTTTTCATCCTCAAAATGTTGCAGTTCAGAAACTTGTAAAGCCCCTGCCTGCCTGAGGTCATAAAGGGAAGAGACATTCGATCAGTCAAACCTGCTGGTGTGGTTTGTGACGTTTGCTTTACATTTCAGTAGAAATTCAGACAATGAAGGGAAGAACCCTAAAAACAGATACACATTTTTACATCACTGTGCAGCCTGGCTCTCAGAAAATGTCATTAGGCTTTACCGGGGCGAGACAGGAACGACGGGGGAGTGCAGCGCTGTATGTGTGTGTGCATGTCTGACTGTGCGTGTATGTGGAGCTCCCGTTGTGTCGTGCTCTCTCCAGCTTCTTGGACACCGTAAGGAAATATGAATTCAAAGACTGGGACAACGATATCACACCACTGCAGAATCAGTATGAATATCTTAAGGCGTTAGGAGGGTTGATGGGTTTGTTAGTCATCGTGCTGTGAAAAGCGCTTTAGTAAACTTGAAAGGCTCGGTAAAAGCCTCATATCATATTTATCCTCCTTATGTTTCAGTATGTTAGTCTGCACCTTGATGTAAAGCTTTGAGATAATCTGATGTGATTTGTAAGAATTCAAATGATATTAAATCAAAAATCAGATTTATTTTTGTTGCTTTCATTTCTGACATCTAGTTGCATCACGCTGAATCTGCAGACATTACACATTCGGCTATCATCGGATCAAAGCGATACCGAAATAGATTTAGCTTCTGTGATCTGTATTTATTTAATGCTCAGTAGAAATCCTCCTGGCTGAGGGGAGATCCAAGAAAACCCCATCTTCTCTGGTTTCAGCATCAGCTGGCTCTCAGTGAGCACGTTCTTAGAAACGGAGTCGTCCCAGCAGACCTGCGGGTCGTGTGATGTTAGCTCGGCAGCACTCAGTGTCTGTTCAACCCCCTCGAGGCTGCGCAGGAAGCTTTCAGAGGTTCCCTCCCTCCTGCCTTTACACCGCCTGCTACCCCTCCTCCTCTTTTTACTAAGCTGTTGTTGTCTTGCTATAATAAGATTGCGTCATGTTTCACAAATGTTGTAAAAAGACATTTTAATGAACACCAATAATAATAGGGTCACTGAGGCGGACATTGCTGCAGGTCTATTGGATATTTGACTGTGAAAGTAAACACCTCGACTCCATCATGCCTTGTATAAACTACATGGCTCATTGATTTATTGATCAGTACACTGACACTGCAGTCTGATCACTGCATTCATGTGCTCCTCAGATGGTCTGCAGTTTCCTCGTTCACCTGCTTTCAATTCTGAACATTTGAATTTTTGTAACAACAACAAACAACATGGATGCTACAGAGAAGTTGTGCCAACTATTGCATATTTCTCATTCTGATTCTGTTCTTGTTGCCAAGGAGTCAAGAAGGACGGCTCCCATTCTCATTTAGAGTTGACAATAATTAACTAAGAGTCTTTAACTACTGCGGATGAAATCGAGGTGTCATTTCAGCTGGAAATAGTGGTAAACTGCTTTTGTCCACATTTTTCAGACTCCAAGGATGTGTTTTTTCAGAAATAGCTAAAATTGTAAATGTAGAGTCCAACTGTATAGGCTATGTGGTGTGCTACAATGGAGATCTCAACAGCATAGCTAGTATAAAAAGCTCAGTTCTTTTATTCTTGTATAGCCATTATTCCTCCTACATTATGGCATGTATTAGAATATAATGATCCATATATTTTACTTTAAAAGTATCCTCTGATATTAGCAAATATCTCATTTTATGATATTTCTCCTGAAGCAGGATGTTTGGGAGGGATAGACGTTAAATATTTGGCAGGTTTGGACCGGTGCAAACAGGGAGGATGACTCAGAAAAACTGGATGTTTGCCTGCATTGCTCTTGCAATACCCTCCCCTCGCAGATATTACTGTGGGCAGTGGATCAAGGAGAGTATGAATATTTCACATTGTGTGGATCGCCTCTCATTTTGCTTTAAAATCCATGAAATTGGTGGTTTCATTGGTGCTGTCTGCTGTTGGATTTTCTCTTTCCTATTGGAGAAGGTTCTGGGGTTTTTTCAGATAATCATTTATGTGACTCATCAGCTGTTTATAGGAAGGACAAGGAAAGGGATGTTGTTGGAAAACTAATGGAGCAAGTCATATATTGCAGCGTGTACAATGATTTTGATAGGAATTAAAAAATAAGGCAAGGATAAAATAGAGATGCTTTTAATCTTAACTGGATAAAAAATTGTGCACAGGGAGAAAAGGATGAACATTGTGTTGCCTTTGGGGTGATTCTACATTCTGCAGTACATTGTTTTTCAGTGTTAATGGCCGTGTTGTTGGGTGCTGCTAGCTCCCTCAAGCTGAACATTTCCCCCTCCCCCCCATGCTGAGCTGCTGCTGCCGCTCTTTAAAGACACTATAGGAAGCTGCTAGAACGACTTCAGTGTTGGCTACAGCTGCATCCAGACCCAGAGACCGGCTCTCTGGGGAAACATTGTCTGTGTTTGGTCTCATGAGTATACACACATGCAGGAGTTATGGTATTGTAGCAGACAAACCGTAATAGTGTATCGTCTGGGCGGCCTTGGATGGCTCGAGAAGAGATGAGGGCTTTAGTAGATCAAGGTGCAGTTCGGTTCAGAGTCAAAACACAATCTGTGTAAAAGCCGAGATGTGTTGCAAAAACTGCACTATAGTTTCTACTGGAGCTATTCTATTTTTATCAGATAGTTTTTTTGGACTGCAAATGGAATAAGAACACATTACCCTGTCCCGTTCTGTGTTTTTTGCAGATTCTGCTTTGTTTACGTTAAAGCTACAACAGGAACAATTCATATCATAGCATGTCAAATGCTCCCTGAAACAAACATGCTAATGGTGTTCTCCCTGCTGAGTTTGTTTGGTCCATTAGTAGTGTAGCTGCCGTCTTCTTGGCGCAGCATGCTCTCACCATGGAGGCAAACAAGGGCAGCATCACACTGACTGACCGAGTGTCGTGGAAAAGAGCAGGGTAGCCCGCTGATTGGTTCACAATAGCTCTTTTTGTGCTCTGTTGTGTTTCTCTGTACTATTAGCTTTTTTGACGACTCTTTTTTTCTCTTCTAAAGTAGGATATTAAAAGTAGTGATTAGAAGAGAGTGTGTGAGCAAGAATGAGGAAGAGAGGATGACTCATGGACGAGTAAAAGTAAGGAAGATCATTTCAAAAGTGCTGAGACAAACTGTAAATAATAGACTTAAAAAGTATGGTATGAAAACAAATGATCCTTGGGAATATTACTCCAGGGAATTATTCTGTTAGCATATCTTTTTTTAACCCTCTCACTGCCCTCTTACCTAATGTAAGGAAGCCCTCGGCGGACATGCATCTAATCATTTGAGTTTTACTCGTTTTCCTGTGACTATGAGTACATTTAAGAAATGTTTTTCGAGATCTTGACTTATTCATCTTGATTTCTCAGGATAGCAACACTTGTTTCCCAGTGATATTGACTTAGTTTAGTCTCTTTCTCGAAATCTTGAGAAATTAAGCCGTTATTTTGGGTAACCAGCATTGTTATCGTGAAATAACAAGATAATATGTTTGAGATCTCGAGGATGAAGAAAACGGAATAAAATAAAATGCATGGTTGTAAGGCTTTCGTACTAATGAGCTTACTCCTTAAATTACAATGCATTTCACAAATTTCACTTGATGGGGCGGCAGTTGTTCAGTCTGTAGGGACTTGGGTTGGAAACCAGAGGGTCACCCGCTTTACTGTATGTCCCGGTGCGGACGTAAAATAGAGAAGTTGTTCTGGTAGCTGGAGAGGTGCCAGGGCACTTCCCGACTACTGCTGAGGTGCCCTTGATCAAGGCACTGAATCTCCAACTGCTCTGGTGTGCTCCCTGTGTAGCAGCCCCACTCTGACATCTCTCCACTAATGCATGTTCACAGGTCCTGTGTATGTGTGTGATTCGGGCCTATGTGTGTCTTTAAAATAACAGAGTGTAAAACCAGAATTTCCCCTCATTGATTAATAAAGTATTTCAAAATGAAATCAAAAATCAAAATGTGTCGAGGTCAGAATGAAAAGTCTTTAGTGTCCGTTCATGTCAGGTTTTAATGTGAGTTCACAGGTTGTAATCATGTGTGTCCTCAGTAGGAGCTTCTATAAACACTGACCTATGCTGCACCACGCTGCAGCCCTGCTTGTTAATTACACATGTCTGTGCCGCAGCTGGATCCATTAAATGTCGTCTCTGCGGCGTGCCACTGTAAATGCCACGCTGTGAATTGTGCTGAGCTGAGGATGAGATAACTGCTGTTCAGTCAATACAGGCCACTGAGCTTCTGCACTAAGATGTCAGGCCCTTAAAGCTGTCATGTCCTTTCTGCTCGGCCATTAGTGCTGAGCCAGATAACGTGTCCTGCAAATGGCAACGTCGAAGTGAAAGCCAATGGTCCTTTTGTAATTCAGAGGAAATTGGCTGTGATGTAGATCTTTTAAAAATGTGCTTACAATGGATGTTTCTTCCTCGCAAGCTGTCAGTGTGATGAATAGTTCTAACACACAGTTTTTTTTTTTTTTTTTTTTTTTTGTTCACAGGATTTGATTTCCAAATCCACGCTGGCCAAAGATCAGCAGTGCAGAGGAGCAGGGAGCCGTCCGTGGTGCTGAATTCACCAGCTAACAGAAATCCCCATTTCACACTCATGAGCTTGGACCGCTCGTGATAGCCCCCGATTCCTAGCAGCGACTGACCACCACCCCAAAATCCACGATGGAGGACGATGGTCGATACAGAGACGGCCGCCAGGATTTCATCCGTGGCGCCAAGGACATCGCCAAGGTGGCAAAGAAACAGGTTGGCAAGAAGGTGGGGCGCGGCGTGGACAAAGTGGCCGATGAGTACAGCAAGCGCTCCTACAAACGCTTCGAAGAGGAAGACGATGATGAAGACTACGGAGGCGTGCCGAGTAACGATGGTGGATATTACCGCAACGACAGCCGAGCCAATGACGACGAAGGTCACAGTGATTCCACTGAAGGACACGACGAAGACGATGAGATCTACGAAGGTGAATACCAGGGAATCCCAAGGGCCGACTCCAGTAAACCTGGCGGTATGGACGGGGTGACGGCGCCGGCGCAGCAGTTCAGGGATCTTTCAGCCTACGAGGCCGAGAGGAGGAAAGACCAGGAGGAGCTGGCCCAGCAATACGAGGCCATCCTGCAGGAGTGCGGCCACGGGAAGTTCCAGTGGACGCTCTACTTTGTCCTCGGGCTGGCGTTGATGGCAGATGGCGTGGAGATCTTTGTGGTCGGCTTCGTGCTACCCTTTGCAGAGAAGGACATGTGTCTATCTGAGCCTAACAAGGGCATGCTGGGTAAGATTTACTGATATCATATTAATGCTTTCAAGTAGAAACAAACAAGAATAATTTTGATCCCCAGGGATCAGGACGCTGCCGCTTCGAGATTAAGAACTGTAAACGAGAGAAACACAATCATTAGAAGCTGTCAGCTTCTCAAATATTAACAACAGGAGTTGGGTGAAGTCGGAAAGGTCGTCACCAAAGCAGCGTTTTAAACCCTCATGTTTTACGACCAGCTAACTGATGAACCCATCAGCTGTTGTCTGCCTCCATCAAAGCATTTAAGAGTGATGAACAATTCGGATTATTTACATAAACAAGACAGATAGTTGTGCCAAAACTTCCTTCAACCATGCCTGCTGAACAAATCCAAAGACATCCAAAGTTCTGCCCCTCTCCTACAGATTTGGTTTGAAGACATGACAAAATTACTCTCAATGACGGAGAGAAATCAGTCAAACAAAAGGAATTCAATCCTACCTGGATACTCTAAACGTACCATTCCAAAAAAAAATAACTCAATAGCAGGAAATTATACATCCAAGAGTATAAATGACAAACAAATTATCTCTGTGTGTTGCAAAGCCAATGTTTGAAAAAGTAAACCTAATACCCAATTTCTACAAACCCCTGAGCTACAGTCTTGTGCCACCCTGAAGGGACACAGAGGCAGACTGCTCAGTTTAAACTGCAGCCTCCTTGCCTTTGCATCTTTTATGCGCTTCAATGTAGATAATAGGCAGATGGTGATTGGAGGAAGTGTGAGGAGGAAAGAAGGACAGACTGAACACAGACAAGGTTTATTGGTCCAGAGGTGTTGTTCAGGGGGAATCTTAAAAACCACGACTGACCATAATTACTGTAAAACAGTTTTAAAAGACACAACAGCACATGGTAAGAGATATTACACACAGGACAACTTTGCTTTGCCAATATAGTCAGGATTGCTAATTTTTCACTGATACTGATACACTTCTACAGCCTCCTTAACCACCTGAGAAATCCTTAATTTTGTAGTTGCAACAGGATGTGTCTTGAAACTGCCGCCATGACAGACACGACATGTTAATCATTGCCATGGAAACAACAGAAATTACGTCAAAGACCACTGCAAGAGGAAGGGGGAATTGCTACTGAAAGCTGCCGTACTGTTGCTGTATGCGCTGCTGTGATAAAAACGTCGTGTGAGTTATACTTGGATACATCGTCGGTAAAATTATTCTATTCCTCAGGTCGGTTTCACCTGGTCGTCATGGCAACGGTCAACTCTTGGCAGATGAATTTAAATAATGTGCGTGTAACAGAACTTTTAACTTTTTTAGGAAAGCAAAGAAATTTCATCTCTAAACGATTATATTTATGACTATCATTCATTCATGTTTGTTGCCAAAACACATCACGATGACCCTTATGCCTTTGCCTTATATATAGATATATATATATATCTATATATAGATATATAGATATATATATATAGATATATGTATAGATTGATAGTACTGACTCGACCTTAAACACATCATAAAGTAACCTTTCCTCACCTCATTTAGGTAGCTGTCTAGTTTTTAAATCCGTCTGTTACAACACTTTTTTAACTAACATTTGGGTGAGCTTGCTACGGCTGATTTGATTGGTCGAGGAGGATGTTTGTCACCTCGGAGCCAGAGTTGATTGAGTTTTTTTCAAGCAGAAACGAGAAGGGCTAGTTTGATTCACGATGCTGATGTGTTCAAAACCTGTTGGCTGGCAATTCAATTACATTCAAGAACTTTGTCAGAAAATCAGATAGACCTTGACCTAAGGACTTGCGTGGCTCGATAGCAGCATCGATAAGCTCAAAACCTTATTGATTTTTATGGTTTTGAAAAGGACAGAACTGGGTCCTTATGGATCTAGATTTCAATCCATTCTTTATTTGCTATTGAGCAACTGTTTTCTTTCCGCTCATCTTCTGTCTTTATGTCCTGTTGCTGTTTCTTTTCATCTCAGTGAGTGTATGCCACCGCCTCACGTTTTATCTTGGCAGTTACCTTTGCAGCTTATCCTCCAGTAATTGCTTTTCTGCAGCCTCGTTGGCAAAGGAACCACAGCTATTTAACATTCAACTGCCCGTGTAGCCTGTGATCAGCCGTTGGACTTTTAATCGAACTCTCGGCCAATGCAAACACTATGTCCTCTGCTTCACTTCAGCTGGAGGGTGTGAGGGGGCGTGAAGGTGACTACATGGGCTCCGTGTTTTGTATTCCTCTTCCTCATGTTTGTCTCCTTAACAGTTAAAGCTGTTTTTGTCTGTGTGCCGTGAGGTGGGCAAACCCTTCTTGATCATTTCCCATCCAATCATAGTCTAAACCTGCTTCACTGCCAATTAACATCTCTCATTGGCTGCCAAGCAGAGGGGAGGGGCCAGAGTACTCTTTTTAAAAGAAGCTGTTGATAATGAGGAGATTGGACAACAAAGTTGCTGTCAAATATGGACAAAGCTTGAGTGATATCATCCATTGGTTTCTGTAAGGCTGGTTAAGAAGCCGATCAACGGCGATTGCCATGTTGGAAATGCTGACTCATTCAAACTCTGGTTAAGCTAATGACAGGCAAAGAGGTGAAGCTGAGGCAGGCCATAAGCTTCCTGTAGTGACAAACCACTACAACCATAGACTGTAAATATTAATGGAAGAAGCCTGAGTGATGTCACCCATCTATTACCACACCCGTCGATTGTGGTCGTCATGCTGGAAATGCTGTCTCACCCTAACTTTCAGTCAAAAAGAGCCGGAGCTGATCAGAACAATATCGTTGATTGTACCAGGCTACAAACATGTTGATTGCTGATGATGTTGGCTTTATTGAATGTGGTGTGTATACTATCTTTGATGCTTCTGCAGCCCACCTCAAGCCGACACTTGACCAACTGCAGGATTTTACACTTCTGTATTGGCTATATTTTTCGACACTGGAGGTTGCTGCTTGGCTATAACACGGCTGCTTGCAGTTCAGATCAGTGACGCCCCTAATCGTGTGCAACTCTTATCCTTTAAAAACAAAATGTGTGAGTCGTAAAAAATAATTCACCCCCTACAATGTGTGCTGATAAAGACATTAACTAATCAGACCAAAATTGTTTTTTGTAGCAGGCTTTAAACAGGTTCAGACATTTCGATTTGGGTCATGTATGAAACTTCTTCGTCTCTCTCAAGCGGGTACGAGAGGAACTGCTGAGTTTTGCACTCCGCATTGGCTTAATGTTTAAACACCAGAGGTTGCTGCTTGGTTGTGATTAATCTTAACATCCAAAATAAAAATAAAACTATTGAAATTTATATTTTTGCCATTTGTTATGTCCTCATCTCAAATGTATGATTTGCGATAATTGACAAAATAATTTGGTCAAAATGTGTATTGATCTTCATGAATCCAAATAATAGTGACAAAAAAGATCAATATCACAATGTAGGACATCAGATGTTCAGATGTTTTATGTAATTTTGGTGAATGAGGTGAGATTACATAACTTCTATTGAACTGACCGAGTTAGTTTGCACTGTTGAACTGTCCTGCTGCCACATCGATGAGCATGGACTGATGTCTCCCTGCAGATGGTGAAGCCTGACTATTGATCGTCTGTGCTGTTTAAATGAACATCATGTATCCAGCATTAATGCCGACTGGAAGGTTATTGTTTAATAACAGTGACGCTCAAAGCTGCCACAGCGCAGCCTTAACTATTGTCCCTCCTGCCAAACTAATTCAGATTTATCCCTATTTTTTTAAAGGTCACAGGGTGTGCTGAAAGTACAAGATGTTTGGATCCATATTTTCTCCTTTAACCTTTGATACAGACATGTTTCCTGATTAAGTACAATATGTTCTTTTCAGTTCCACTATCTGCTGCTGGTCAGTGAGCTGCAGCGCTGCATCAGCGGGGAATGTTTGTGCCATGTGTGCGTGTGTGTCCTTTTTCCTGTTGGCATTTTTGTGTCTATTTGTTTGCTCATGTCCAAAGATCTATTTAACAATCAGGTTAAACTTAGAATATTGTGCAGAAATAACCTGCAGGTTTCATGAAGTATAAGGAAATACACATGATCTGACATGAAAGTATGTCACCGTTCCACCCATGCGGCAGCAGTTAACGTGCATTTAAAGCTTTATTGGTTACTGGGTTGTGTGATTTTCACAGAGAGCCATGCATAGGATGAGGTATTGATTGCACTGCTGACATGTTCATTGACCGGCGTCTGTGAGGCTAAATGTGTCTGTCTGCTCAAACATCCATAAAATTCTGCATGTGTGTTACCAAGGCATATTTGGTCACCTTTTTTGACCAGATACATTTTAGGAACCGCTAGTAGCACCCTGCTCGAGGATCTCAGGCTGCGGTCAGGCTCATAGGGAGCTAGCAAATAGCAGCTATAGAGAGAGGCCTGGTCATTTAAGGCTTCAAGATCCTATAATCAGTTCTAAAACTCACAGGTAGCCGGTGAGGAGAAGCTGCTCTATTTATTAATCAGCTCACTTTGTTAACTTAATCACATCTTTTTTATAGTCCCTCAAGTGGTCAAAAATGAAACTGAAGGTTGACATGTATCTTTAGAAACAGATTTCTGCATATAAATACAGTACAGTATAATGTAGCCTATCAGAAGATGGCACTTTGGTTTAAGGAAAGTGTAACAAAGGGAAGCAATTCAGTTAAAGATATTAGAAAAGTAGGAATGTGATTGATATTTTTTTCTTTCGCTCATTTTTTGTGTCGAATAGAGTGCAGTATTTCCCTCTAAACTGTGGCAGGGTAAAAGTAGAAGCAATTCAAAACACTGAAGTACAGCCAACCCTCTTAAATTTGGGTGCTTACAATATTATTTTAAGTAAATATACTTTGTTCACAACAGGTCAGGTACATCCCTCCCTTCTTGCTCTTTGGCTCAGTCTGTGCTATGGGGGAGCCAGTAGGGAGACACTACCATCCCCAATTCCCTCCCCCTCTTCCTCTTTCTGTTACGCAACATCCCTGA